CACTGACTCACTGACTCACTGACTCACTGACTCACTGACTCACTGACTCACTGACTCACTGACTCACTGACTCACTGACTCACTGACTCACTGACTCACAGACTGACTCACAGACTGAGTGACTGACTGACTCACAGACTCACTGAATCACTGACTCACTGAATCACTGACTCACTGCATTATAAAAGAATCAAGTGAATGTTATTTCTTATTGTACTAGTTAATGTTAAACCTTTATTGTAAACAGACCAATACCTCCCTTTGGAGAGTAAGGCGCAATAAAGATATACTATACTATACTGTATACTGACTCACTGACTCACTGACTGACTCACTGAGTGATCGATGACTCACTGACTGACTGGCTGACTAAAAGACTGAAAGACTGAAATACCAACCGAGTAACCAACCGAGCGACCGACTGACCGACCAACCAATCGATCAACCCACCGCGGACCGACTAAAAGTGAGTGAGTAAATGAGTGAGTCTCTATTATTCGAGAAAGCTTATTCATTGCACTAATTTCTATGATTATATTTGTCTTAAGGTATCATACCAGCCCTTGACCTCTCCAAAGGAATCTCAAGGAATTTGTTCCTAGATGTTATCAAAAATCGAACATGGGTTCGAAATCAAAACTCTCAAATCCTCGACCTATTGATTTATGAGTACACAGACTGGTTAAATGCGAGTGATCCGCATCTCTTACGCCAGCAGTTCATTGACATCAACACAGATGCAAACTTTAAAGCCCCCGCTATTCAGTCGGCCAATGCATTTGTAAAGAAAGAATCTCCAACATATTTATATCAACTTGAAATAGCACCCAAAAGATTTTCACGTAGTCTACTGCCAATACCTTCTTGGTGGGGAATATTTCACGGAGCTGACATTGTTTACACGTTTGGTTTTCCTCTGTCAATGCCCAGGAACTTTACAACTGCCGCTGAAATCTCTTTCACCAAGGATATGATGACCTTGTGGACTAACTTTGCCAAAACAGGGTCAGTATAGATTTAACAAGGGAAGCTACCAATTGGTCTCAATCATTTCTCGTTTTATAGTGGTTAGGCTGGTAAAAACACTCCTCACATGCGAGAATCGTTCCGAGAAATATCGGTTCTGGTGACTTGACTCTACAGATGTCCGTATAAAGTTTTCTGGATTTGATCGTGTGCGAGGAAATTTAACTGCATCTGATGAAACAGCGGTCAGAGAAATTACACCTATTCCAAGAGAGCTGCGTTACTCGTATGGACCTTTGTTTCATATCGAATCTTCACAGTCTTTTGAGAAGGGAAGGATTAAGAATGCGCAGAGACAATCTACTCTAGCTAGTAGTTACTACAATTTTCTGAATTATAGATATTTGTTTACCGTATTACGAACCTTGAAAGAAGAAGAAAGAAGCCGTCAGCAGTCGTGAATGCATATGGCAAATGAAAGCAAGATCAGTAAAAAAAAAAAAAAAAGGATGGGTAACTAGACTTGAACATGGCCATGAAAAGAACTAAAATCGTTTGAGGTTTTTTTTTTTTTCCTAATGCGTTTTCGGCTATCAGGCTTCAGCCTTTGACGAAATTAACAATTTCGCTAAACTACGCTCGGTTATAGGGCTCTGCTATAACCGAGTGTGTATTGATTATGCTATTGATTAGTGATTATTGCCACGTTCGATAAAGACGCGTGATTTTATTAGAAGGGAAGTTAGTGTGTATCAAAACGATCTAAACGCTATCAGATTATCTCTAACCATTGCCATTCAGTGCAGGGTTCAAATTTTATGTCACAAGTGCATTTCCATCACTGCCCTGTACAACCCTTACTTTCCCATTTGCGATTTCAGAAATCCTAACAGTCCTACGCCTTTAGGAACCAATTGGCCCCAGTACACCGCTGAGCGAGGAGAATACATGGGACTAAGTTCAAATATGACAGTAAGGTACAAGATGCGTCCAAATAAGATGGCTTTATGGAATGAGCTTCTACCAAGTCTTGGAGAAACAGTAAAACCCACCAGAAGTAGCGATGTGCGAACAACAATTAGAAAACCTGACGACAAGAAAGGTATAATAATAAAATCTAAGTACGAAATACACTGCATGTATCTCATTTGATTGTGTTTTTTCTCTTATTTATTCTATTTCACCAGTAACTATAAATCAGATAGAGTCCACAGAAGTGACGGTCTAAAATGAATAAAACTCTCCAAGCACTGACCAAAGAAATTTCTTGAAATGTATATCATTTGATTGTGTTTCTTTTCTGCTCTATTCTATTTGTTGTATATTTTAGTTTTCAGTATAGTAACTATAATTCAGATAGAGCCCATAGCAGTGTCTTAAGACTCTATGGCAAGCACAATTTAAAAATGACTTTTTTTTCCTTTCCAGATAATATCACGATGGTCCTTGCTATCCTAACAGGGGTGTTTGTTACTTTAGCTGTGATTTTACTCTCCACATTTTTTAACAGGAACAGAATTTAAAAGGATTAGATTAAGATCAGGTCTTCATACAGAACGCTTTGAATTTTAGTTTCGAAAAGTAATTTGTCTTGCCCGATACGTACGCTACACGACTGGAAATTCGCGCCACTTTTTCATCCAATCAGAAGTAAGACCAAAGCCAGTCGTGACTTGTTGGAACACGTTTTCCCGCGCTTCGCGTCAGTTACATGTAATCACTCAGAGTTTTGATTGGTTGATTTTGTGGTCAGTACCCTTTTGGTTTGGTCTACAACACTCAATTGAAAACCTCTCTAAAAAGAAATCAATTACAGTAGATATCTTGCTGTCAAAAGATGATTGCACGCTTTGAGGCTAAAATAAAGGGTTGAGTCGTTTTTTATTTGTTTGCTTGTTTTGTTTTGTTTTGTTGTTGTTGTTGTTGTTGTTTTTCTGTCCTTTTTTTTTGGGAGGGGGCCAAGGAGGGGATTAAATTCAGAGATCACAAGGAGTCCATTAAAAACTACCCTCCATGGGCATTTTCTGCGAAAAAGCAAGCAGGTGCATGTATACATCAGAAAAGGCTAGACTACTTGTTCATTCCAGGTATGATAAGATTAATATATAACTGTATAAATGGAAACATAGGTGAGATGAGGCCACATCGAATATCATCAGCATTGCTACCAGAAGGGGTGACGCTTGTATTATGTCTACTTTACATTACATTTTGAGTACAAGAGCATATCAGTGATATTATGGCGTTACGCTACTTGCGTTTAACTCCCAGGATTAAACGGTAGGAAGTAAGTCGAATCAATAGTTCTAACAAGGTTTTAGGAAACTCTTTTGGTAAAGTTCGTAAATACTGAACTCCCCCCAAAGAAATAAATAAATGCAACCCTAATATAAATATCAAAAAAATCTGGCGATCACAATGAACCGATTAAACTAACATATAATACGCACTTTCCGAGAACAAGCAAACAGGCATAAAGCACAAACATAATGCTCAAGTAGGTTCAAATCGGGCCAGATGGAGTCAGATCGTATTGTATTCATAAAAATAGCGATAGTGAAAACGCACACTGTTTACTTTATCTAGCGTTACTCTTGCTTTACACTTGTTTAGTTTGTTAGGGGATTTTTTGGCACCCTGAAACAAGTTATACGAGGCAGACCAAAGAAAAGGACTTTTGGCTTTGTATTCTATTTGTATTTTATTCTACTCCATTAGTACTCCGTTTTGGTGACCTGTTGCAAAAAAGGTTATAGACTGGGCGGCCCACATGACAAGCAAATGGACAAGGTTCCATATCAGAAATTAAAGATGTTACATGCTTACAAAAAAAATTAAAGCCTCCCATCAGAAGAAAGTAGAGCTCTCGATATTCAACAGGGGGATTCATGCTGGCGTCATTGCTTACATTTTTTGCTCAATTGCATACAGCTTTGCGTAAAGAAGGAAACATGTAGATAAGAATTGACTTCAGGCAGCTAAAGAGCTAGTGAAACTTCAACATGGTGAAATTTTTAGCTCTTTTGGTGGAATATTCAAGGAGATATTGTCTTTCAAAAACTGCAAAATTTCTGGGTGGCAAAAGCACTAATGAGCTCATACGTTCTTTGTAAAATGTTGAGTTTTTAAACCCGTGTTGTACAAAACGTATTCAATACATGAGGCTCATATTCATTGGCAGGGTTAATCGTACTATGGCCTTTCAATATTCAGAACTGATTTATTTGTAGCTCCATCAGAAACCGGGCAAATATTGTAAACAAGGATTCCCCTATTGACCAAGATACTTCAGAATCACTGTCCATGAAATTCTGTTGACAATCAATACAAACTGTATTGTAATTAGTAGCGGTCGTGTTAATTAATAAAGCTTACTTTATTATAATTATAACACAGGTTTTGCGTCAAATATTATGATATTTTCGCAAGAGATAGTTCTGCCATTGTTTTTTAGATTTATGATTTTATGTTTATAGGTTCTACACATTAGAAGACGTTTTGAATGACCGCAAATCAAAGTTTCATTAAACAACACTTGAGCCTTCATTCATGTCACACACGCGATTCGAACCCACATTAAAATTTCTAAGGGTGTTTTACTTCATGAACGTGCTGCAAAGAATAAAATATATACCCCCAAAGGTGCTTCGCCTGCAGACGAAAAACTTTCATGTCGTCTTTGGGAAAGAATGGTGTACATTTCAAACGAGCGGAAGTTGAATGCATTTTTGTGCAAGTTTCTTCGACGTTTATGTTAAGATTCACAAGATCCCACGAAAATAAACTCACAACTCAGAAAAGCTGTGCCTGACTTCTCTTTGTCAAATATATATATATATTTTTAAACTCGCATTTACTCTTAATTTCAATGTTCCGGCCTACAGAGTATTAACTTTTCGTATCATTGATGGATGTTTAATTTCTGTTACTCTACGGCAGTTACGGGTCCTAAGAGCACCAACTAGCGTCTTGATACAAAGTTCTATAAATTTGCGTGAAACGCTTCTCCGAATAATGCGCGAATGAAGAAGCGGGAAGCCGAAAATTTGGGTGGAACTCTTCTCCGAATAACGCGCGAATGAAGAAGCGGGAGAAATGGTTTATATATCAATCTTCTATCACATCATTCTCAGATTCTTGACTTGATGTATTGAATGGTTACGATTTTTTGATTGCGTGACAGTGAAAACCGGCACCACAATTGATGAAAAAGAAACCACGGTGATTAAACAAACTCATATTAATATGTGACTAGGTGACATACTGTTGATATGTAAAACCAAAACAAAAGTGCCCCAAGTCTCCATATAAGAGGTTATTATCCTTGCTGCCTTGTAAAGAGCCGCCTTCTATCCAATGATCATAAAGAAATATTTCACTAGCTATTACATAGAGCAATACGAATACGAAAACTGCCCTAGCATAGTAGGTAATTCTGCCTGCAATTTCGAGAAAGAACAAAATCAAGTCATGCATAGTGCAGCTGCATTGCAAAGAATGTCATTAGGCAATGAGTAACCAGTGCCATGACGGTCGTCATAGTAGCATTTGAATACATCGGCCGCTCCATTGATCAGATTTATAGAACTGAAGTGGTATCGTTCTGAACACTGAAAACTTCGTCCGTGCGTTGCGATGACCGCATCTACACTCTTCATGTGCTTACTTTACATTCTGTCACTCTGCCTTTGCTGCCGATTCTTAGTCGCTTCTGTGGTCGTCAATACGACTTATGGACCCGTCAACGGGTCAGTAATATCACTGTCGACGAACAAGACTGTTATAACCTACCTCGGCATACCGTTTGCCAAAGCGGAACGTTTTGAATTTCCGGTTCCTCCGGATAAGTGGACTTCAACACTGCAAGCAAACAAGACTGACAAGATTTGCCCACAACCTAGTCTGCTCGGTGCGCCGAGTAAACTCTCGCTTATGAGCGAGGATTGCCTTCTGCTAAATGTGTATGTCCCAGGCAATGCCACAAGCAACTCTCAGCTTGCAGTTATGTTGTGGATTCATGGGGGCGCATATATCATTGAGGATACTACATCTTACGACGGTAGCGTGCTGGCAACCGAGGGGAACGTGATTGTTGTCACGGCTGCTTATCGTTTGGGAGTTTTGGGATTCTTGAGCGCGAACAGCGACAATCTGAAAGGAAACTACGGCATGCTGGATCAGGTAGAGGCCATGAAGTGGGTGAGCAAAAACATTGAAAGGTAGGTCAGTCGGTTGCTTTTATTGTCTCCTTCTACAAAGTTTCTTTAATGTGGGGAATCTCAGCTGAAAAGCAAGTTCCAAAGTATATCTCATGGTGCTCTTTAATTAATCTTGCCGGCATTTTATATCTCTGTCAGTTTAAATCTCCTGGGCGTCGTCATGTTTACTTTATGGTAATTTATGACACCAATGCGCAGTAAGCGATCTCGATATTGAGTCTACGGAGGACAATTACTGTCAACTTTCAACTTTCAACTTTATTGCTTCCATCACCTATTACAATATTATATACTATAAATCGCCTAATATTACTATTTTGTTGATACAAAACAAGTGATGAGGGAGTCTATAGAAAAAAAAAAAATGCTTGAAATTATAGACCCCTAATTTGACATTTATCAACTAACTGATAATAGTTATCAAACTTGAAACAACTCAAAATATCTTATGAAATAATCAACGAATCAATTACTTGTTGGAACTTTAAATAGTCATCGGAATATAAATTATAAGCGATCACAGGCCTTTTTATATCTCTAGACTCACGCAATTATGCACGGTTTTGGAAACGTCCGAACGCGCACTAACGTCACAATTTTACAAAAATAAACATTGCGGCGCGAGAGATTGAAAACAACAGCTGAAGTTAAGAGCCACTGTGTATAAATATGGAGAATTAATCCGACGACAGGTCGGAAAATTCGGATTTTCTTTTATTGTGTCAAAAAGACCCCTTTGGTGAAGTATTTTCAGAAATATACTTTCAAAGTTCCAGCGACTTCACATTTTTGTGAAATCTAGGAAAGTTTGAAATACCGCTCAATCAACCAAGATGGCCGATGGAATTTGTCTGTCTATCTGTCTGTCTGTCTGTCTCTGTCTGTCTGTCTGTCTATCTATCTGTCTAACTAACTATCTATATATTTATTTATTTATTTATTTATTTATTTACTATTTATCAAATTGTTGTTACAAATTATAGGTTTGGTGGGGATCCTAAGAAAGTCACTATATTTGGTCAGTCAGCTGGTGGATTTAGTGTTGGGCTGATGCTGTTGTCGCCTTTGGCCAGCGGTTTGTACCAGAACGTTATTTTGCAGAGTGGAGCGGCACCAGCTTTGCCCGCATTTTTGGAAAAAGATCAAGCCGAATTACGAGCAAGGTAACGACCTTATTCGCCTTCGACATTTTTTTTCTTTTTTTTTGCTGCCCTCTTATAATATGCCTGTCTTCAGGTAACATTTAATGTTCTCTTTGTTTAATTGTTTCCATTTTTGTTACGTTTTTTAGTTTATATTTACGTTACCTATTGATTGATTGACTGACTCACTCACTCACTGAATGAATGACTGACTAAATGGCTGACTGACTAACTGACTGACTGATTGATTGATTGATTGATTTGATTGATTGATTGATTGATTGATTGATTGATTGATTGATTGATTGATTGATTGATTGATTGATTTTTTTTTTCTTTTTCCTCCAGGAGCTTTGCCAAAGCTGTCGGATGTGAGATGTCTTCACTGAAAGCCTGTGCGAAAGAAAAATCCTTTCAAGACCTTCTAACTGCTCAGGTCAAAGTGTTTGATGATCTTAACTTTTTGAACTTTGCACCGGTTGTGGATGGTTACTTTATGCCAGGTACGTGGTAATCTATAATCAAAATTGCCATTCGCAGGGACAAGATGAATTCATGATCCAAGATCACTTGGGTCAAGGTGCATTAAAGAAACCGAAGAATCCATTCTGGGTAAAGATTCATCACTTCCTTTGAAGCAGCCTCAAAGGAACTCATTCCCATGCAGTAGTTTTAAAGTATAATTTATTTATTTTTAACGGCCGGCAGACGAACATTACATGTATTAGTGAGCTTTTTTTCTTTCGGGCAAAATGAACGATAGTTTTTTTGCTTTTTCTTTTTTTAAGAAAGTCAATGTAACCGGCAAAGCATCAGTAATTGAGTCGGGTTCCATTTACTCGCAGTTTCCTTTGCTTCCCGCTGCGTCTCTCTTTACGCATTGCCTTTAGGGTGGACATCCTTGATAATGGAAAAACTTTCAAAGAAAATACAACAAATGTTATGTCATTGAAAGTGTTTAACTATTTAGTATACGAATCTCGTATCACTTTGTGCATCTTACAATCTCCATTGTTGCAGACTCCCCGGTAAAACTCCTCGAGGCCGGCAAGTTCAACAAGAGCAATATCATGATTGGATTCACAAGAGATGATGGAACAGTCCTTGCGTCTGGTGTTCCAGGTTGAGCTGAATTCACTTGATTTTATGACTTATAGCGGGGTAGAGTTGAGTGCTAATTAATTTAGTTCATTTGTGCTATCATAATGGGTACACAAATTAGTCTAAAATCTAGTCATCTGTACTGACGGTGTTAAAATGCGAGGTCACTGAAATACCCAATCAAAATATCGTTTTCATTTTCCGCCCTTGATTCTTGATTTATAATATATTTGGTAACTGTAGTAGTAACAGGAATGGTCGCAACCGTAAGGGTAATATTAATGTTAGATGTGACCGCCATTGCAGTAACGTAAAAGTAACGCAAACGGTAGTATTAACACTACTAACTGTCTGTCTGATATCCTGCATAACTGGTGGTTTATTTGGTTGGGGTAAGGACCATAAAGAGCGCAAGCTTGCGTGATCCACGAAAACGAATGGCGAAGCCGCGAGTGGACTGGGGGAAAAATGAGGAAAAAAAAACTTTTTTTCGTCTCTCCCACAGCGTCCTCGCGGCATCGCCGCTCTCACCGCCTGTCTGAGTGCTGACTGACTGACAGACTGACTGACTGATTAATGGCAACAGACTGGCTGACTGACTGACTGATTGACTGACTGACTGACTGACTGACTGACCGACCTACTAACAGCTGACTGATGACTACAGCCTGGCTGACTGACTGACTGACTAGCTAAATGACTGATGACTGACTGACTGACTGACTTTTCTGACTGACTGATTGATGACTGACTAAAAGAGACTGAGTGAATGAGTGAGTCGCTATTATTCGAGGAAGCTTATTCATGCACTTATTTCTACTACTCTATTTCTCTTTAGGTGTCTTACCAGTACTTGACCTGTCTAAAGGCATCATAAGGAATCTGTTCGTAGAGGTGATCAAAAATCGAACGTGGGCTCGAAATCAAAACTCTCAGATCCTCGAGTTTGTGATTTATGAGTACACAGACTGGTCAAATTCTACCGACCCTCATCTTTTACGCCAGCAGTTCATTGACCTAAACACAGATGTAAACTTTAAAGCCCCCGCTATTCAGTCGGCCAATGCATTTGTAAAGAAAGAATCTCCAACATACGTATATCAACTTGAAATTGCAGCCAAAAGACCTTCAGCCACTTTTCCTCCAGTGCCCTCCTGGATGGGAATATATCATGGAGCTGATCTTCTTTACACGTTTGGTTTTCCCCTGATAATGCACGAGAACTTTACAACTGCCACGGAAATCACTCTCAGCAGGGATATGATGACCTTGTGGAGTAATTTTGCGAAAACAGGGTAGGTATATATTCAACAAGGGATGCTACGCAGTCCTCTTAATCGTTTCTTTTTTCCTAGTGCGTACGCTGGTAAAAGATCCCTCGCATACAGTCTACAGATTATTTACAGTTTGTTTGCTTGTTTGTTTGTTTGTTTCTTTTTTGGCTATCACAAATTTCATATTACAGATAAATACGCATGAGAGATTTGATTCTAAAAAGCTGTACTGGTTACTTGACTTTACAAATGCCAGTATAAAGTATCCTGGATTTGATCCAGCTCGAGGAAATTAAACTACATCCGCGGAAACTGTGTATGGTCAGAGAAACTACAGGTCGAATCTTCGACACCTTTTGAGAAGGGAAGTATTAAGCACGCGCCAAGTGATATTGCACGCTTGCGAGTACTATAATTTCTGGTTTATAGACAGTCGTTTTATCATATTACAAAAAGGTAAATAAAAGGTAAATATAAAGGACAAAAGGCTATTGTGGGAACAATGTAATCAGCCATCGTGAACGCATATTGTAAATGTAAGTAACAGCAGTGGCAAAAACTACAAGCAACTATAGGTTGATAACTCAGTTGGTAGAACGATGCGCCGGTATCGCAGGGGTCATGGGTTCGAATCTCGCTCAGGTCTGAATTTTTTCAGGCTTTAATTTCACAACTGCTTAAGTTGTGTATATAACTGCGATGATCAATCATCTGTTCATCTTTCTCCAATATATGATCTTTCGTATATTCACTTGTAGCGTTAGGCATGTTCGTGAAAAAAAAAAACAACAACAACAACAACAACTAAATCACAAATAAATGACCTTTCGGATATTAGGCTTCAATCTTTGACGAGGAGCAACATTTCCGAAAATCCCACTCGGGATTTAGTTTCGCTATTTACTGATCATTGCACTGGAGACGTTAGGTAAAGACAATTCAATCCATTGGAATGGATTGACTTGAATATCACAAGGACCAACATTTTGAAAACTTAAAACGCTAGTTTTATCAACCTTACCATTGCCATTCAGTGGAAGATTGTCATATAATATCACAAATGCATTTCCATCACTGCAATGTACATTGCTTACTTTTGCATTTGTGATTTCAGAAATCCCAACAATCCAAAGCCCTTACGAACACATTGGCCCCAGTACAGTGCTAAGCGAGGAGAATACATGGGACTAAGTCCAAATATGACAGTAAGGTACAAAATGCGTCCAAATAAGATGGCTTTATGGAATGAGTTTCTACCAAGTATTGAAGAATCAGTAAAACCGACCACATGGAGCGAACGTAGTAAAGCTGACGACAAGAAAGGTATTGTAATAAAATATAAGTACGGCACGTGCCTAATATATCTCGCTTTATTGTGTATGTGTTTTTTCTTTTTTTTTTT